GTATTGTACGACATTGGCTGTACTTTGGAAAAGAGATATTATGAAGGTGATCGTCTCTTGCCTCACTACACTTTATTGAATTCATGCTAAAACACTGGCTCATCAATCAGAAGCAACTATTTTAGTCCGACTGTGAGAATGGTCAATTGAAATTTGGCACGAGTGTATTCCACTCTTATGCGCATTTGGTGGAGGAGCCAATTGAATTACAACCCCCGCCTGAACAAAGGCTGGGGTCTCTTGGATGGTGAAGGACTTGAGCGTGACTGGTCTTTCTTGTCACTGCTTGTTATGCCAAATCGATACTCAACAAGGCAACATCGACTGAATATGTTGCATCTCCGGAGCATGCATCAAAATAGAATTTTGCGTGTGAATGCAGGTGAGGCAGTAGTTCATTTACATAGTATCAAACTGACACACCTTCGATCTAGCTGAGAATCAATGGACTGTATACATTGAAAAGTTGGATCCCTTCGAAAGAAACTGAAAGATGCTCACACATCTTTCAACACAGCGACATCAAAATTAGGTAATCTGTTGACATTGAATGCTTGCTATACACCAGAGTATTTTAAGGGTCAGTGGGACCGACAAAGGACCTTGCAGCTATCAGCCACAGAGAACGAGAATGTCCGTGATCTGGAAGAGCAAATGATTGATTTGCTAGAACTCAAAGAGAAGCTACGAGACTCACAGTGAGTCCCGTTATCCAGGTCAATTGCGCATTGTATCAGACTCTGAATGATCTCATATGTTACGCCATTTAGTGGTCAATTGACCCGTTTACAAAACACTCAGATTCAGGGTAGAAGTGAGGCAGAAAGAGAGCAAGTAATCACCTTACCAACTTAGATTGTAGCACTTGAACGGGCGATTGCTGCGGTTGTTTTGAATTTAGAAGAATTTCGCGATCTAGAACAAGCCTCAGGTGAGTATTAATGATGGATTGTTTTTCTTTATGAACTTATCTTATGAGTTATTCTTTGCAGATAAAAAATCTCGTGCGCTCATCAAACTCCGTATGGCAAAACAGAAGCTATATGAAGCTAAAGTGGGGATCTTGGAGGCACAAAAACGATGGGAAAGGTATGGTCAAGGTATGTCCCTCATCTTTTCTATTGATTTGTGTCAAAAACGTCTGACTAGCCTGTGATGGGCAGGAACTCGTGCACAGCAAAGCTTGAAGCAGTTCATGAGAAATAAACAGACTATGTTTAAAAAAAAGTTCGATTCATTCAAACTACAAGTCTCAAAATACAATAGTATCCCACCTCTTAGTACCATTTCATGTCTGTCCTGTAATGAGGCTAAATGAATGTCAATCGAAGATGCATTTTGGAGTATGGGTTCACTCTCTCATCCGATGGAGGCTTGGGCAGTTGACCAAGGAACCAAGGAAGGAATTCAAGCTTTCTTAACGCGCAGAAGCTGTGCTGAAGAGCTTCGTCGGATTAGCCGTGAGGTTCAACAGATGATGCTCTTTGCTCTGAAGACAGACGAGAAATCTGATTGTCTCCAGCAGTTGTCGGTCAAAGGTTTGTATAGCACTATTTCATTACATGATAGTTCATTGATACATGGCCGTGATCGATAAATATGTAAATTAACTAAATGAACTTGATTTTGATTTCTATTGTACTGTACAAGAATGGGATCCGGAATGCAGCGGAAAGGACAGTTCGATCGACTTGGTCCAGCCTGGCGGACGACGTGCGAAGGATGTCTGGAATGAAAGCAGGACGGCTCTAAGCGGACTACACATGGGCCTTCGCCTTTCACATGCTCGAGATTGGATGGGTTGGAACACTCACATGGTTCAATTGTTGAGAGATACACATCAGTATTTGACTTCGACTGCTGAATTTGACGACATGTTGGCTATCAGGTGGGACGAGCTGATTAGAAAATGCAAGACAGAGTGGGAGAGAAATGTAAACGCACCAATTATTGAATCCAAGGATCTGGATGATCAAGAGGCTCTAGAGCAGACAATTCTGTTGTGGGGAGAGGAAGAGGAGTAGATGCGTGTGCCAGAAAATGAGCTTGAAGTTGAATATGAAGATGATAATGAGATGGGTGGAGATGAGTATGAAGAGGATTGATTTTGTATCGTTGTGTAGGATTGAAGTCTTTTGATGAAGGTTGGTCTGTATATAATGTAATTAGCTGTAAATAGACGGTTTGATGAGGTTTGATTTTGTGTATAGTGTAAATTAGCTGTGATTAGATTTGATGAGAGTCGATTTTTGATATAATGTTATAATCATTGAACAGTTTGATCCGTTATGATGAAGTTTGTTTTTTTGCATTTGTGTTCAATCTTGAGAATGGCAAAGAGGATCCAGTGTGAATTTTTGTTTGTCTTGTTGCCGTGGAAGATAAATATGGGGAACGCTGAGCCAGCGGAGTAGTGAGATGTTTATAGTAGTGCGGCAATGGAGGAGACAGACCTGTGCGGTCAGCTTGGGATGACTTCAGATGAGTCTGAGACTTAAGATGAGTCTGAGGCTTAAGATGAGTCTGAGGCTTCAGATGAGTCTGAATGTGGCCTGGACAGAAGAGTCTGAGCCTGTGAGCAAGCCTTAGGAAAATTGACTTGAGAGAAAGATTCAAACAGATGAGTCTTTCTAGTCATCGAGTCTTACAGGGGAGTTGGGGATAGCATCCCCCAGGAAAACCACTTTTCCCATGGGATACTATCCCAGGGGTCTGGTAGCCAGAGGTTCAAAGATTACCACAAAGAAATAGAAAGACAAACTCCTAATGGTGATCAGAAAACCTATCAAAATTTTCCAATCCCAATCAAACGTTTTTTTTCAAAAACGATGCAATCTGTAGAGCTGATAGGATCAAATGCAATAACAAATAGTATGAGATGAGATTTGCTTATTCTGCCATTTGAACATCTCCAGCGTTCTTAGATTCTGTACTTTTTGAATCATTTTGAGGTGTAGTATCCATAAACGCTTCAAGTTCTTTATCTAGATCTTTAGCACTTTTCATTCCTGATCTACCTCCTCCTCAATTTCGATCAATTCCGCCACCTCTCATTTCTCTGCCACAATGAGAAGATCCATTGGATGCCCATATTGGTCCATGTCCATGTCCATGATGATCTCTTGACCCTCTACTTGATCAAAACTCTCTTACACCTGATCCTCTAGGTCCAGTAGGTGGGAATGAAGACCTCGGGTTCTTGAATCGATCAGTCTTGTACAGTGATGGGTTGAATCTTTTAGTCAAGCTGAAACAGAACAAAATATCATCAAAAACGGGATGATGACCAGATAAGGACAAGAAGTATCGATGTGCCTACCGATCATGGTTGATCTGACCAAGAAGAACTGAAGCCTTGTTCGGAAGCGAGCTAGGCCCTTTATTGGGCACCAAACCTAGTGATGAGCAAACCCAAAGGGGCATACCAAATTCGTACCGTAATCCAATTGGTTGACCTGAGGGAGGTGAAGAATGTAGAAGGATCAGTAACAAACCTCAGAGTATAACAAGAATTGGATGAAGTGGCGCAAAACGTACCTTTGGCGGAGGCTCCATTGAAAGCTTTAATGGCATCGGCGGCATAACTCTCACTATGGTGGAAGATGAAAGCCAAGCCTTCAGTCGCACGACCTGACTGATCAAACTATCGGTCTGAGGTATGGAGTCAAGCATATATCAGCAAAAGGGATGGTGATGAGCTTTGGACAAGATAGAAAAGATCACAAAAATCAAACATACCTGTTCAGATGATAAACATACAAAGAGGTAGTAAGTATAATGATAACTATCTGATCATGATCTTGAGAATAGCTTCTGAGATTATAGGTGTGTGGGTTTCTCTCAGCAAGTTTAAGCGAGTATAAAGATCCTCAGTACAAGTTGAGCTGTAGAAAAACTCTCTCAAGTGAGCCCTAACACCATTTGATTCGTTGGATGAGATACATCTTCATCCCTCTTGAGAGATTTGAGGAGACTTCAGGATTGTATAGAATTTTAGAACGAAGGACGCGAAGTGTGTACCGTATGTAGAAGGAAAGCAGATGAAAGACCAAGAAGAGGTAGAGGTAATTACTTGAGTTGACTCATTGTGATTCAAGAAGTAGAAATCATTGAGGTCAAACTGTGTTGAGCATAGGATGGGTTAAGAACACTGAAGAAGTTGAAATTCTGAAAGAAATTGAACTTTAAGATGAAAACTCTTCAAAGATCACGTACTTTGATTACTGGTCCTCAATCAAATTTACTAATCTGTTCAAAGAGAGCCAGAAAGAAGAGGAATGAATAAGTTATCTTTTGATTGTTTTGAGTCAAGAAATAGCTTGTTTACCTCTAACGATCAAAAGTGCAGGAGCTCTAGCTTCATCAATCACAAGTGATTCTTTGATAGGTTGAGCCTCAAAAAGGTCATGCTTCCAATTATCACCTGTCTATTCATTTATCTATTCAAAAACAAGTTGATTAGTTTTATAAATTGATTCTTGTTTACTTACAAGTTTGATTTGATTAAAACTTACTTCGTTTATTCGATTTTTATCAAAGATTGGTTTTTGATTGGGTTGAAGTTCTCTAGATTTAGGGACGTGAAAGTGACTACTGACAGCTGACAGTCAGCACTGTCGGGGACATCCCAGTTACCCTTGTTCCCGAAAAAGTTTAGGGCTGGTGTTGTAAAACCCAACACAGGGCTAGCTTGACAAAGGCCCAGCCAGCCACCGGTGTCCCCCGGATCATTGGGTGTCAGGGGATGCCGCTGAGGATGAGCTGAGGGGCTTATATGAAATGAGCAGATGGGCCGGCCCTCCCTCAGGCTTCTTTGCTAAGGAATGTTGCCTGAGGGAGGCCTGATTCATCTCCTCAGTTCCTGTTGATCACATAATGAGCTAACAAGCAGAAAGAAAAGGAAAAGAAAAGGGAAAGAAAAGGGAACAAACATGGAGAAAAACACAAAAATTTCAACGCTCACATAGTTGTGAGCATCAATTTTTGCCCCTGTGCCTTGCCCATTCCACTGAGGCCGGTTCCCTGCATAACCTCCTCTTCCAAAATGATTACCCCCAAATCCTCCTCTTCCTCTAGCTCCTCCATACCTTTCAGGACCAGCATTATTGCCTTGCTGTCCGGCACCAAAATAAGTGTTGGGATTTATCCCTCCTTGTGGGGGCCCCCTGTTCTGAAACACAGGAGCAGGATTGTTGGTCGGGTTAAATTGATTAACCCTTCCCCCCACTGGGTTGCCAGGATTAGGCTTGCCTGCACCCCAACCACTCCATGCAGCAAACTGCTTTACTAACTCCGCCACCGCCGGATCCTCGGTCTTACGTCCGTCCGCCTTCTTACTCAACCCCTCCATCTTCATTCCCCTTCTTTCCATATCCTTCTGCACCACTTTGTCCTTCAATTCTTCATCCTTCTTCAATTTCACCTCCTTCTTGCCTCTCATTTCCTCAAAGACCAAGTCCACCTCCGCTCCCATGACTTTCTCTACCGCCTTCTTCAGCAGACTCCACCCTGGAAACGTATGCCTTCCGTCCTTTGTCACCCGCAACTGATTCTCATCCCGAAGCAACTCCTTGATCTTCAGCTGCTTGGCATCTGAAAACGCCTTGTAGTAATACCAGCAGACTTCATCTTCGGAGTCAATGTAGTCATTCCTCTTCAAATACCCTAGCATCACCTCGAACTTGTGTCGGAAACCTTCAAACTCCACCTTACTGTCCACACCTCCCATACACTCATACTTCAAGGTCAACTCCTTCAAATCCTCCACCGTATACCTTGGTGCCTCCCGCATTGATGCATAGCGGTCCTTCATCTCTTTCTTCAATAGCTTCCAGTCCCATTCTCCTTCTCCCCATCCATCCAACTCCTTGATCTCCTCCTTCAAATCCTTTCCGCTTACAAAAGCACAAACTTGCATCGCCATATCCACACCACTAGCCCTATCCACTTCCGCAGCCACCTCAAAATCCCGCAGAAACTTCTTGACGTCATCCCCTCGACTGAATCGTAGCTCCGAATCTTGAGGCTCAATCTTTACAACTTTCCTCCTTCCCTTCTTACCCTTTCCCTTCCTTCCAACCCTTCTTTCATCCTCACTACTTTCATCTGAGCTATCCCCCAAGCTGCTCCGACTACTGCTTCCGCTACTCTCTTCGGCACTTGGCTCCCGTCTTTTCTTCTTACCCTCCTTCTTGCTATACCTCTTCTTGCTCTTCTCCCGTTCTTCCTTCCTTGCTTGGTCCACTTCCTCCTTGACCCTCTTCTGCCACTGCTCCGCCATCATCTGTTCCATCCGCCTCATCATGGCCTGATTCTCCTGGAACTGCTTTTCCCACACCTCCTTTCCTTCACCATCCGAACGTGACTCCTCGCCGGCTCCCCTATACTCGCCAAAGAGCTCATCCACCGGTGGTGCCGCCGCCGGTGCTCCTTCTGCCGCTGGTACCTTGGGGGTCCTCTTGTAATGGCCGGTTGGTGGCACACCAAGACCCTCCTCCCCGTCCAATGCGCTACCCGCGTTTTCTCCCAACGGTAGGCCTGAATCCATCTTACTAAAAGTAAAGAATAAAAGAGAATGGAAGATGAAAGATGAAAATCCAAGTAAGAATTTTTGATGGAGTTGATTGGTTGTGTTGAGAGAGTTGAGAGTGAGTTTTGAGAAATTTGATGATGTTCGAAAATGAGATTTTTGAGCCAGTGTAGACTACTTGAACTATTGAGCTCCTGCTTGATGTGAAAGTTGTCCAAAAGAAATGCCCCAGTGGAGTCACCAGATGTAGAACTCCTACGCTGTGGAGCGTAGGCAGAGCCTCAAGGGGAAGAAACAACCCAAGTAGGATAAACCTCCAAGAGCCGTAACCAAAAAACACCGTTAAGCTGCCCTCAAAATACAGTGAGACACTTCTCGCCAACCTTTCTACCACCAAAAGTAAGCTTCCAACCTTGATTATCCAATCTACAAGCTTTAGTTCAGCTTTAAGAATCCCCGTAAAGGTCCTACGGTTCAAAAACAGATGTAAACAAGCTGTTTTTTACTACGTTCCCCAATGCAGTTCTCAAACAACTTTCCCGCAGCAAGTAAAAAAAATAATAAAACCTTGAAAATACCTCCAAAACCTTGATCTTCAACTTCTACAGATCCCGACAATACCCTACACACCCTATCCAACTTTAAACCCAGCAATTTGCACCTGTAACAGTGCAAAAGGTACCCTAATACCCTAGGACAAAACCCCTAGGTAGCTAAGCGAGATAAGTAAAAAAAATAACAAAATAAAAATAATAATCCAATTTTCAAAATCCCCAGTATAAGGGTTTCAAAAAAATCTTCGATAACACTTGTCTTCAACCCTTATATTCAAAATAAAGGTAAGACCTTGATCTCCTTTCTCTTGTTCTCTCTACCAATGCGATGAAATAAGAAAACTAACACTTGATTGTTATTTTTTTTATTACTTCTTTATCTTAGACTCTGATCGATTAAAAAAGGAAACTTCTAACAAAAGCTCAACGCTTTGATTCCGTCCGAATCGAACGGACTCGATAATGATCAAAAGAAAAAAAGAAGACTTTCAAAAACCTCTCTCTAGGATAAGACCCGCAACTTCACACTCCAACAATCAAAAACATCCTTTTATACCCAACCCTTCAAACCTAATCAAACCTATTGTAAGTTTGATTTTTTGCTTTTATCATTCCCATCTTCTAACCTCTTCTTAAGACCTATCCTGAGTTGTTTCTATGTTGTTTTTTAGGTCGGTCCGAGTCAAATCAAGCCTTGGACACTTCTCAATTGATCAAATAATCTATTACTGTTGACCTGTCACCACCCATTTCATCAATTCCCATCAAATCAAAAAATCGATTTTTTGATCCTGTGGTAAGTCCTTCTGAATGTTTCTTCTGATTCATTCATTGGTCTCTTCTAACATTTCTATATAGTTTTTGTCTAGCTTCATTTGATTGTAGCCTCCTTTGGATTAAATTCGATTTTTCAATTTTAAACATAGGTGAAAGTGAACATAAATGAGAAGCCACTTGAAGATAGTGAAGTTGTTGAAGGAGAAGAAGATGATTGATTGGAAAATTCAAATGTTTGTATATAGTTTGTTTTTGTTTTGAGTTATGTACTTTTGTCAAGTTTAAATGTTTTGAAATAAATTGTTTATAATTCAACAAAAGTAAATAAATACTTTAAGATAAGACAAAAACTAAAGTGGAAGAGATTAACATTGAATGATGATGAGTTGAAGTTCTATCAGTGAATTTTTAAATTGATTTAATTATAGAGTTCTTTTGTTTTTTGAGTTTGCTGTTGTTTTGTTATTTTTGGAAGAGTTTGACAGGTTTAAATAATTGAAGTAGATTGATTGAGCTGGAGAAATTGAAGATGATAATCAATTTTATTGATAGGTGGTGACCTTAAAAGACACTTGAAATGAATATTTTATTATTCTCAGTTTCTTTCTGAATTGCTTGATTGATTGATTGATTGAGTTATTTCCGAATATATCTTGGTCTTGGCGCGAACATTTGGATTACCACACCGTCATGGACATAAGCCTTAAGTCGTGCCTTGGTTAAGGCAACCAAAGATCCTCGATTTTCAAGTAGCTCTGATCAAACCTCACCAGAACGTCCTAGAAACGATCCAGATCACAATGATAAGTTGTATTAACTATCCTTTCTATCGAACAAATAGCATTCTGATATAAGATCTCATGCTAGCTAAAAATGAAGGAATAAATTGTACATTGGAAATTCCAAACCGCATCTCACTCAACAACTTTTCCAAAAAACCAACAAACATCCAGGAATCAAGTACAAGTTTAATTGATGTGAGTTTATAATTGAAGACATTAAAAGTTTTGGCTTTTGACCAGATTAGGAGAGCAAGGCATAAAATTAGTACATTTGGACCCACAGACCCTCTTTTTTGTTTGCATCATTCCACAAGCTTTCAATTTCAATTCACTACTTCAAATGCAAATGGTCTCGGGTTGGATTTCTGCTTTTGGGTCTTTTTCTGATCTTTGTTTAGACATCAATGTTGAATTTTCAACTCTCGTATTGAATTCAAACCTTGA